AAAATTCTTCTAATTTTTTCTCTATGAAGTAATCATTGCCCAAACAGATTTTGCACCTTATGAAAATGAGTAAATCGTACTAATCGAAGAGTTGAAATTTTGGTTACGGAGATTGTTTCATGATATTTGCAGCGTGCTGAATTTTGAAGTCACTTGAGAGAATGTATTGAATGGAATACTATGTAACAGGTGTCATTTCTAATAAGTAAAATCAGAGCTGCTGTAGTGTGTGTCACTGGCACGATACTTCTGACAATTAATGGAATATCTGCTTTGCCTAAAGCAGTGGTTCTCAGTCTTGAGGGAGACTTGCAGTACCCCTCATTAGACTCAAGGCACCTTTTGTAAAATTCCAGCTCAGAACTTGCATTCATGTTTTGACTGCAGAAAAATAATAGAGAAATACTTTTGTTGCAGAGAACTCAGAAAGATCACAGCAGGTCAGAATTCCTATTTGATATCTCTGGGTTTATCTTGTGAATCACATGTAGGTGCTTGCACACCTAGCAGTGCTAATATTGTGCAGTACCCTGTGGCACTCTTAAAGTATCTCATGATCCCCTGGTTGAGAATCACTGCCCTCAAGTGATAAGGACTTATTATTTGAAAATAGCTGGATGTGGGTGTTAGCCCTGCTGTTGTCATTGAATTCTTACTTATCACTTCATACAGCTAATGGTACAAGAATTTGGTTTCCCATTATAGGTGTATACATGTAGATGCATGTGTAAATTTTGAAGTTACAAGTTAGTAAAAGTATCTTAACATTTACTCTGTTATATTGACTTGCTGCAGGAGTTATTTTGTTCACTAATCTTTAATTTCTTTTCTATGAAAGAATTGACTACATTTAAACATTTAGTTATCTTTATAATTCAAAAATACTGTTTTAATATTTAAGCAGCTTTTATAATTGAATCAAAACATTATACAATTTCAAATCTCATTTTCATGAAATTTTGCATGCTTGTATCTTGCAATATAGTGACTTTATTATTGTTATTAATCATTTACATAACACCATAAATGTACAAAGCACAGTTCTGTATGCTTTATAGTCCATATACTTCTTTTTTATTAATTTTTTTTAGTCATTTGCAGTATGTTTTTGTTGCATTAATGAAAGGAACTGTGTGATCTTCTAGACCACCAAAATAATATTTTTAAATTCCCATGAATGATAAAAAGAATGAATGTTTCAATAGTAGCAAGTCCTGAGTTAAATCATCTCATGGTCAGATTTTGAATTCAGTGCTTTCTATTTTAAAATAAAAAATATCTTATTGACAATAGTGATATGACAACTTATTCTATGTGGTTATTACTGATGGATAAAACAGAAGCAGGAAAGAGAATGTGTCGTTGTGTGGTGCAAGCCCTCATACAACATAGTTGTGGAAAGAGAAAGATGAGAAAAAATTAAAAGAAATTAAAAAAAACAATTAAAAAGCTTTTTCCTTTGAAAAACCAGATGTAAGATAAACAAACAAACAAAAAAAACATTCTCTCCCATGATTTACTTTTGAGGCTTTTTTTAGAAACTTGAGAGTTGACCATTGATTTCAAATGGTCTGAAAATAATGCTTAAATGTTAGGGTCATTTTTTCAGCAGGGCATAAAAGAACAATAGTAGTATTACACATTCAAATTCCAGGGACCTGCAAAGTGTTCAGAGTATACACAATATATTCTGCAGAATTCAGGTTAAATGAAGAAACACAGAAAAAGGGTTCAATACTATATCAGCTGAAGTAAGTGGGAGATGGAACTGATTCCTACTTTGTTCAATAAGGTTAAACTATGTGAATTATTTTAGGATGACCATTTCAGTTTTAAATGGAAATGAGAATATTTTCTTTTTAAAGTGTTTTGAGTCATAAAGGCTCCAAGCTTTTTCTTTGTAGAAATCTGATGGTAACATTTGAAACCATTCCTACTGCAAGATTCATAAATAATAAATATTATCTCTTATTAATCCATATTTTAGTTTAACTCTGGCTCATAGCAAGTTACTTCCTCAGGGAATGAAGAATTCTTTACAAGGGAAGGTGATGAGCCACAGTCCCTTAGGAATTAAATTGTGAAAACAATCTTGGTTTTGTACATGCTAATATAGATCTGTTATTCCCTTTCCACATCTATCACAACACATTTTAAATTGTGGCTGATCTTTTATGCAAATTGCTGTCTTATTAGACATTGCGGCTGTATGTGCTAATGTCTCCATGGGTTTCTTGGGAGTTTGCTATCTAACCATCAAAGCGGTAGAAATGAATGATGATTACTGCATAGCTTTGAAGAACAAAGAAAAGTCACATTATTTTAGAGGTTCTAGATGCCTGAGTCAGTGACAGTTTGAGCCATACAGATGAACAGGAGTGTCTTGATGTGCTTTTAACTAAAGGGAAATAATTTTGTCTGCATACTCTTGTGTTTTATTGGCACTACTAAAACTGCAAGCATTTTTCACAGCTGATATTTTGTTACAAAACACAACTAGACCATTGAAATAGCAAAAAATAAGTTAAAACTTGTTTTTTACAATAGAAGAAAGTAGGCCAAGAACTAGTTTTGCTACATAAAATGTATATTTTCCATTTGGAAAGTTGTAACATTAACTTTATTTTCATGTATAGTTGCCATGGTATGAACATTAGTGGCAATCAGTTGCCTTTCCTCCTATTTGGGTTATGATTTTATAAACAATAGGAGTGTGACACAGGGGTAAAAAAACCAAAACAAAACAAATAGATTATTTTTTTCCTTAATATAATTCAGTTCAGTATAAGCCATGGATATCTAATCTAGCCATTCACTGAGTTAAACAAGCAAAATGATTAAAAAGCTGTACTGATATTAATTTTAATCTAAACTGAGACTTCAGTACCATTCACTTGTACAGTTCTGTTTTTCCTGAATACTTTTACATTTACTTTATCGTGAACATTTAGTCACTGATTTGTAAACAGTGTAGTTCATTTTGAATCCCATGCTTCATGCCTTAAAACAAAGCTGCCCAACTTCTGAGCATCTGGGGGTCTTAGGGCCCCTGCCCGTGTTCTGTGCTGTATGACCCCTCTGCCCCTTCCTAGCTGTGGTTGATCACTGCTGCATTGCAATAGCGCATTGCTCTGCACAGGGTCCCTGGGTTTCCTTGAGCCCCTCGTGCTGTGGGTTACCTCAGCTAGAGGAGGGAGGGGCAGCCTGGAGACTCCAGTGGCAGCAGCAGGAGAGTAAAGGGGGGAGGGG